ATAAAACAATACATTATTAGGTTGGCATTCATGTCAGTCAGTTCCCCTGATCTTTGACTGTTTGTGGGTCTAATAGAGACCTAAGTTGAGGAACCAATGCTGAGATGTGGTGATTACCTATGGACTGCAAACCTTTGGGGCCTGGTCTGATTAGCAAATTACCCTGATTTATGATACTTTCTCTGCAATCTGTTACATCAATAGAATCACTTTGTAATCAAGTTTATAATTACCATTAGAATCTCAATTTGTTGTTAAATTTCATGCTGTAAATATATTTGTATATAGAGAATTAAGTACTAGCAGAGAAATTTCCTCCAGGAAGAAAACTGCAAGAGATGTGATTTTTTGGTAATAAGCTTTTTGCATATACAAGGGGCTTCAAAAAGTTCATAGACAAATGGAATAGAATAGTGGATATTTCTACTAACTTTGAATCCTCTTGTACATAATTACAATGAAATCAGTTTCATAAAAACTAAAGCATTAACAAGAGATATATGAAGCTACCATTTGTGGATTAGAAAAGGAAGAGGAACAAAAGATTTCTAAGTGAATGTTTATAAACCTTTAAGAATGTCAACATTGGACAAGAAACATATCCAAACACATTGCAACAACTAAGGTGTCTGTTTTTAAGAAACTGATTATAGATATAAAATTCCCATATTTTTACAGTCCAAGTGTTAAAGTACTAGAAGAGGAATCTCAAAAGATCAGCTAATCATGAAATCCATACTTCTAAAACTGCCAAACTAAAAATAATTTTTAAATGAAGTAAGTAAAAGTGTTTTTCCCTTAGCTGATAAAAAGTACTTACTGGTCTTGTAAAAAATATTCGTAAAACCTGTCTGAAAGTTTTCAGGTGTCTAAAAAAGTCCAAAAGCTGAAATAGGGAATAAAGAAGAGATAATTTATTAATTCAAAAAATATCAAAGCTTTAATCCCTTAATATAAAATCCTGATATTTAACCTAAATCTCACTATAACACAGCTAAAGTCCAATTAATGAATATTTTACTCAATTTATAGATTTAAGCCAAATCTTAACCATGCTGAAGTACATCTCAATACCTTGAGAATTATAATTTGATCATGACAAACACAAATTTAACTCAACTATACCAAAAACCAAGAAGAGATTAAAGCAATTTTACCTGGTTCACATGTTAATTTACTTGGATTTTAAAGTTTCATAAAGTGATTAAGTTGAAGAAAATAGGCAGAAAAAACAGGACAGGAAACTCCACTAGTTTGAGAATTTTGAGTATAACTAATGGTACTGTTGGTGATGGGTATTGTCTATACCACTTGTTTCCCCAATTAGGTATTCCGTGTTATGTTGAGATTCACTTTCCACCCTCCCTTAAGGCCAATAAAAACTAAGAACTGAAAATACATTTCCATTTCTTTAATTTTAAATAGATAAAAATCCTGTCATTACTTCAAGTTACTGGTATGAATACAAAACAAACTGGAAAATAGTTTTAAGAAAGGGGAAATAGTCGTGTGTAAATTCTAATCAAATGAGTCATTATGCGATGACATGGAGCTTTCTGATGATACCTACTTTCAGTATGAGGTAGAGTAAAGCCAGCAATATTCCAAGACTCCATCTAATTACATTCCCAAAGTCCCCAAAGCTTATAAGGTAACGAAACCAAACCGGTATTGGAACAAAAGTTCGGTAATACTGACATAATTCTTCTAAAAGCATATACCAGAAACCCTAAAAAAAAAAAACACACACACACAAAAAAAGAGCTACTCAATTTAGATATATACATTGCACAAATATTTCATTTTCAGCCTGAGAACATTATAACCATTAATTAACCTCAATCTGGTTCTAACATTATAACCATGAGTGGTTTGCTGTCAAAGAATTTCTACAGAAAAACTGAAAATGTTTTCTGTATATTATAAATAAAACTAATTATATGTTCTTTTGGTCACAAAGCTTTGTATTAAAGCATTTATGAGAATGGAAGGCAATGAAAAAATGCATAGTTACCATTATCATTTGATAATGCCCTGGAGGAGAAGAAATCTAAGTATTTTCTGATATATGATACAGGGCACTGATTTTTAGATTATTTGGAACCAAATATAAGGGCTTCAAAAAGTTTCGTAGAAAAATTCCAATACCTTTTCATTCCATTTTTTCACAGACTTTATGAAGTCCCCATATAACTCTGATTTTACAAGAATAGGTTAATATTTAAAGTCCTTGAGCAAACAGTTGCCAATCTGAGATAACGTAGATAATTAAAATTAGGTTAATTAATAAACTAAAAAATTGTAAAAGGAGTCACTTAAAAGGAATACTACATAACATATATGTGTTTGCTAACATTCTTCGAATAAAACAAGTTAGTTTCTTACCTTTGATTTGAAAGGCATGATGGAAGAAGGCACCAATAAAATAAAGCATTTTAAGCTCATGAAAATGAATTTCAGAATGAAGTCTGTAATTCCAACAATCCAAAATATTTCCCAGAAGTTCAAATGGTCCAAAGTAGGTTTTAAAAAAATTAAGCTACCAAGATAAAAAACAAAAATTTACTACAGTAACATACGATAGGAGTTTAAAAATATGACACTATGTATTTTACTTCAATAAAAAATGCAACACAGGCAAGCCAATGCTAGATTTCACATAAATATAGTGGGAAATTATTTTAAAGAGACTTCTCTAAATGTTTTGAATTTCAAATCTTTATAGAATAAGAAAAATAAATGTAGTGTTCCTAGCTTGTGATGGTTGCCACCTTTCTAGCCTGTATATATATAAAAATTCATACTGGGTTCTACCATTTTCTAATCAACCAACTCCAACAAGGATTCCATCCCCTACTTTCCAATGAATTGTTTTTGTCCACATCAATAAGGAGTTGATAATAAATTCAAAGGTCATTTCTCTTCTTCCATCTTCCCTCAAAACATCTTCTAGATTTGTGACACCACTGAACTCTCCCAGTTCTTATATGTCATTGAGGGTTCTTTTGCTGTTCCTCCTGTCCTACCTTTTCATTTTAGGTATGTCCAGTTCTGGACCCTCTTTATATATACTTTTCCTGGTCAGAACCATCAGTTAACCATGTGCTAAATACCATGATTTATAGCCCTAACCTCTACCCTAGAGCGACACTGGGTTAAAAAACTAGACTGCAAAGTCAGTTTGAACTGTAAGGTCAGTGATTCAACCTCATTAGCCGCTCCTTGGAAACCCTATACATGGTTGCTATGGGTCAGAACCTACTCAGTGGCATTTAACAACAACCTCTAACCTGAGCTCCAAATATTATCTAACCACTTTCTTTAACAGTTCTACTTGGCCTCTTAATACATTCAAATTGCTGGTTTTCCCTTCAAAACCAATTCCTTCTCCAGTCTTTCCGTCCAGTTGTTAAGACCAGTTGTTCAGACCCAAGCACCCTTGGGTCATCCTTGATTTTTCCCCACCTCATCTTAATCAAATTCATTAATGTGATTGGCTCCATCTCCAAACTGTATCCCATATTTGTTTATAACTCTCCAACTGAAATTAGTTATCTGATTAAAGCTGAAAATTCAGAACACTCCCGCTGTTGTGGTACTTAATAAACATAGATTATAGAAACTTCTGTTAAGAACTGGTCTGTGAACCACAAGTGTGTGGTTCAAACCCACCAGCTGCTCCTTGAAAAACCTATACAGAGTCACTATGAGTTGAAACTGACTTGATGGCACGAAACAACAACATAAGAAACAAAAACTAAAAAAACTAAGTATCTGCTATTTGCCAAGGCATTGGGATACAAAGCTGAATACGACTCTTAGCTTTCAATTTTGCATGGAGACAGGTAAAAATGAAGTATTATATGTGAGCAAGATATATACAAATACTATGGGATATATAATTACATAAAAATGTGATTGTGTACTTGGGTTCTAATTACCTGTAATGAAGCGACTGAGAATGAAAGGTGTAGTATAAAAGAACAGATGATCCTGCTAAGAATACCAGTAACCAAGCACATTGAATCTTAGAGCACCTTTCCTGAAAAAGAAACAATTTTTAGAATTTAAAATATCATTAATCTTTTACTTTAATGAATAATTTATTCATTTAGTATTTTTGTAGATTAGAATCTTAAAATATAGCATGGCTGCTAAATTCTACATCATATTTTATATTTCAATGAACAAAACTCATTTAAAGATAAAACTTGATTCACTGTGTAAAAAGCAAAATTTCTTCATTGTATGCAATTTCTTCACCTGTTTTCAAAGAAGCTATTATCTTTTGTAAGGAACTCTGTCTGGTAGCGTAGTGGTTACGAATCTGGCTGCTAACCTCAAGGTCAGCAGTTGGAAACTATCAGCCGTTCCGCAGGAGAAAGATGAGGCTTTCTGCTCCTGTTAAGATTTATAGCCTCAGAAACACTGTGCAGGGTCACTATGAGTTGGAAGTGACTCCACAGTACTTTTAACAACAACAACATATCTTTTGTAAATTGACATCAAGGACGTAACCGAGAGCAAAAAAATTTACCTGTGTACCCATTTATGTGCCTACTTCAAAAGCAAATTCTGGTCAAGGTTTGTAAGTATATATTTTTTTAAATTCAGACTCTAAATATTTAATAAAACAATTTGTTTGATCTGACTGTTAAGGTAAAAAAATTTAATTGCTAGTTTAATTCATAAAAGTTTTACTAGTTTTAAACCCTGAATTAAATTTTTATAGTTTGACAGGTTTGACTACAAATGTCCAGGAAGAATGCAAGATCTTTTACACAGATACAGCTTTTTCAAAGTTGTCTTAAAGTAAAAATTTATAAATCAATACTATTTTTTCCAACAATTTACAGAACAGAATTCTTCTGTAATTTATGTCATGGAAAAACTTCTTGACTTATATTTCTCTAAGAGAAATCTAAACAATCCTATACTCATTTATTTAATGGTACATTTTATGTATTTTAAATCCTATAGTGCAGATAAGCACTGGTAATGGTGTAGGATAAGCATGGACTGCACTGATAACCACACAGTTGGCATTTTAATCCCACCAGCCACTCCAGAGGAGATAGAAGAGGCTATTTGCGCCCATAAAGATTTACAGCCTTAGAAACCCTACAAGGTAGCTGTGAATCAGAACTGATTTGACTGGCATGGAACAACACAATAGTGCAATGAGACCCTGGTGTGACAGTGGTTAAGCTCTCGGCTGCTAACTGAAGGTCAGCAGTTTGAACCCACCTGCTACTCCTTGCGAGAAAGGTGTGGCAGACTGCTTCCATAAAGATTTATAACCTTGGAAACGCAATGGGACAGTTCTACTCTGTCCTATAGGGTCTGAGTTGGGATCAATTAGAAGTTAGTGGGGTTTTCATTTTGTTTTGTTTAAAATAGTGCAACAGCCAAAGTTTTTATTAATTATTACATTATTTAGTAGGTCTATGGGTGATGCAAAGTTTGGCTCTGTAGGATAAGCACTGGACTGTGAAGTACAAGTTTAGCAGTTCAAACCCACCAACTGCTCTATGGGAAAAGGAGGTTTTCTGCTCCCACAAAGATTTACAGCCTCAGAAATCCTGTACAGGGTCGCTATGTACCAGAACAAACCTGATGGCACTGAACAACAACAACCTAAAGGTTGGTGGTTTGAACCTACCAAGCAGCTCCGTGGAAGAAAACATTGGTAATTTGGTACTGTGACGATTATAGTCAAGAAAGCCCTATGGAGCAGTTGTACTCTGTAATACACAGGGTCACCACAAGTGAAAACTGACTCAGTGACAGCAGTTTATAAAACACATACCTCATAACTTGTTTTTGTTGTATGCCGTCAAGTTGATTCTAATTCACAGCAACTGTATAGGAGAACTGCCCCACAAGGTTTCCCAAGACTGTAAATCTTTATAGTAATAGATTGTCACATCTTTCTTCCATGGAGCAGCTGGCCTTTCAAATGCTTAGCTACTGGGTCACCATAACTCCTTTGTTACTACTTAGTATTGTCAAAGGAGCCCTGGTGATATGGTGGGTTAAGCATTGGGCAGCTAACTAAAGGGTGAAGTTAGAACCCAGCAACAGCTCCACAGGAGAAAGATGAGACATTGTGTTTCTGTCATGTTTTACAGCCTCAGAAATGCTATGGAGTCATTCTCTGTCGATAGGGTCAGTAGGAGTCAGAATCCACTTGATGGCAGTGGGTTTGGTATGGTCAAACTGATTCATAAAGCATGAAACACTTGCCAAATCAAATCAAATAGTGTGTGCTGAACTTCTGAATCCCTCCACCTAGTTTTTTCTCCCCCTCTAACAGGAACCAAACAACCACAAAAAATAGGGGGAAGGAATTTAACATTAAAACATAATTTATTCCAGTTACTTTCTTATATGAAATTTAGTATACTGTGGTGGTGGTTGTGTGCCATGGAGTCGGTTCTGACTCATAGTGAGCCTGTGTAGGTTTCTGAGACTATAAATCTTTACAGAAGCACAAAGCTTCAACTTTCTCTTATGGAGGGGCTGGTAGATTGGAACTGCTGACCTTGGGGTTAACAGTCCAACTTGTAACCCAGGACATTACCAGGGCTCATTTTTAGTACAGTATGAATGCTACAATGTATTTAAATTTGTCAAATTATTTTCTATTTCTCTTAAAAGTAAATATGGAATTCTACAGTGAGAAACATTTAATAGTTTGCTTGTTATACTTACTCTTAGAAAAACCTGATTTACAATGCTTTTGTTTGCATACATAAAGGTTGTAAGCAGCCCAATTCCAAGAGAAATTCCTGTTAGAAAATAAGTTTCAGTTAATTTAAAGGAAAAAAAAAAAACCCAAAGAGGTATATATAAACTAATAGTGGCATGAATTAAAAGTAAACATACAATTTAAAATTCTAACAGAAAAATAAGTAAAAGAAATGCACGGGGTTAAAGTAGATTACAAAAAAAAGAAAGAAAGAAAATGAACTGACTTTAACAATTAAGTCAATGTTTTCTTATGTCCTACCTGTTATATGCTTCATAAGAAGTTTGACACTCAGAATCAAAATATATGGAAGACTTTTTTGCAACCACTTGAAGATATAGTGAAATTCTGAGAAGGAGTTGCCATGTTCTCCAGACTCTGTGGTCATATCATCTGGTTGTCTTGCTTCACCTTGCGAGTGACTTCGTAAGCGACTATGTACACATCCGTGGGTACAGCTGTGGACACCTGACCTTGTATTTCTAGAGCTTGGATTTTCGACATATTCTTTAGGTATGGAGTTTATTTGGATATGAACATCTCCAGAATGAAGACACGATCCTTCTCCTGTCATTCTTGTTGTATGGACACATTGGGAGGCTGAGACCTCCTCACTGCCTACAGTTCCTGGAGGACTGTGCAGTTGGCTACAGTTAGCTTGCATGGTCCTTGAATACTTTTTCTCTGATCCAAATTTCTTTTAGGAAGCTGTCCCCTAAAAATCAAATCATAGAAAATACTCTAAATGAATAGGACAATACAGATAATATGGAGCCCTGGTGTGGCGCTGTAGGGTAAGCAATGCACTGCTAACTGCAAGGTCCATGGTTCAAACCCACCTGTTGCTCCTCAGCTCTATACAGGGTCACTATGAGGCAGAACTAATAGCACTTAACAACACAACAGCTATCCTTTAGGAGCCCTGGTGGTGCAGTGGGTTAAGCATTGAGCTGCTGACCTTAAAGGTGGCATTTTAAACCAACCAGCTGCTTTGCAGTTGAAAGTTGAGGCTGTCTGCTTCTGTGAACATTATTACCTAGGAAACCCAAAGTAGCAATTCTACTCTGTCCTATATGATTGCTGTGAGTCGGAATCCACTTGCCAGCAGTGGATGTATCCTTTATTGAGTAAAGGGGCAACTGATAATTACAGTTGCTGTTAAGTGTCATCGAGTCAGTTCCAACTTACAGTGACCCTGTAATAGTGTTTTCAAGGAGCAGCTGGTGAGCTTGAACCGCTTACCTTGTGGTTCAAACCAACTTTGCAGTCCAGTGCATTAACCCACAGTGCCACACTAGGACTACAAAGATTGTTAGGTGCCGTAGAGTTGATTCCAACCCATAGCAACCCCTGTATAGGGTTTTCAAGGAGTTGCTGGTGAGCTTGAACTGCTGACCTTGCAGTTCAAACAACTTCACAGTCTGGCACATTAACCCACAGCACCAAACCAGGACTCCAGGGTAAAGGTTAGAGCTATAAATTACAGTAGATGAATTATTTTATTTGTTTACTAGACTCCTCCTTTAATGCCAAAGGCTCTGGTGCCCTACACAAACTTATAAGGAAAATTTGCTAAAAAACAAAACTTCCAGTTCTTTAGTGACATATGAAAATTGCAAAACTGTCATATACATGCTCAGCATATGTTAATGAGTATTAGTTAAGTGCTGTTGCGTTGAGTCGGTTCCGACTGATAGCGACCCTGCAGGAGCAGCTGGTGGCTTTGAACTGCCAATCTTGCCCAGTGCTGATGATATTTGTCCCACACCAGGAGTCCAATAGTACTTAAAAACTAAAGAACATTCACTCTGCCCGGTTGGATCAGTTTATGAGTCAGTATTCTTTGAAGCTTGGAAATACAAGGAAGAAAAACACATTGTCTTAAAACCTTAAATTAAATATCCTCATGGGTAAATGGCAATCGGCAACATTTCACTGAGTTGACCTACAATATTAGTTTTATGCTGAAGAAGCTTTTCCTAAGTTAAATAAAGCTTCCAGTAATTAATGGTACCACCAAGAGACTACACCCCCCTAAGAAAAAAATGTTATTTAAATACCTTAAAAATAGGGATAGTTGGGAGCTAGAATTGCCAGATGACGCTCTGAATAAGGAAGCTACACAGCCTATTAAAGGGGCCAACATGGTGCGGGTGAGAGGTGCTGCCAGGGAGGCTGCCGACAAGCCAACGACCACCCAAGACTGAGGAAACGGGGGTGGACGTCAGAGCTTGTTCTGTGTCATTCATTGAAACATTTAGGTTTCAATATTTTTGCGGTTATCACATGGATGTTTGGTTTTTACTGCTCCGACACCAAGGGTCCTATTTATTTCCTCAGATCTCTGAAGACTGACGTTGCCTGGGGCCGTGTCTTTTTCATAGATAGAAATTCAGAACCCTGCCACTTCTCCACCCACCCGATCAGAATACAAAAAAGGAAGAAAACGAAACGCAAACAAATCTTCCGGAATTCCCGAGCTTCGGGTATCCCAGTTCTTGCCAAAAGCCCTCAGCCGCAGCTGCCCCCCGCCTCCTCTTCCCTCTTTTCCCAGACCTGACCTCTCATGACGAAGAGTGGACAGAGGACTTGGCAGTGAGGACCGCAAGTACAGGGTGTGACGCCGTCTCAAACCCCTCAGTCCGGGCCATAGCGCTCAACTCCCACCACAAGCAGTTCAGCGACAGCGCGCGCGCTCCCAGGATGGACGTCCTCGCGCAAGCGTGCCCCGCCCACGTGCGTTATGCGGCTGGACGAACTGCCTCTAAGGTGTGGGACGGACGCCACGCCGGGGGCTGCCCCTGGGCTGTGTGTAGGTGTGTGCTTTGCACAATAAACTGCCGTCACACATGTGCGCCTATGTGTGTAATTCAGTGATTTAGACGTTTGACAAACTGTTGACTGCGGAAACCTGCCTTCCTTGGGAGGAGGAGCATGAAGGTGGACCGCTGTCCTAGCTGCCATGAAAGTGTCCGCGCGCTATGGAGCGTCTGCTGTCCCACAGACTCCGCTTTCGGCCCTGGAGGGAGTTGGAGGAGCCACGTGGCCCAGGGCTGGGCGCATCTCTGACGAGGAGCCGAGCGAGTGCGAGGGCTTCCGGGTTGAGGTTTCAGGACTGTGACTCCTGACCCAGTTGTGTACGGCGGTGAAGTTTGAAGCGAGCTGTGCTTCCGGTACAAATGTGAGGGTGAGCTGGGAAAACTAGGTTCTGGCTAAACCCCAACACGTCAGAAGCAGGAGCGGGGCTGAGAGAGCATTTCGGGTGCCACTTGTAAGTTGTCAAAGTTCGCAATAACTCTAAATCCAAAACTATTCCAAAATAAAAAGTTTGTTAAGGGGAAAGAAAAAAACAAAAACTAAAACTAACTTTTTTTTCCCCCCTCTTTTGAGCCCTGGCCTAAAGAATTTAATTGATAATGTATTCCCTGTGTACCCCTCATTCCACGGTCAGCAGTTCAAAACTACCAGCTGTTCCGCGGGAGAAATGAGGCTTTCTGCTCCCGTAAAGATTTACCGCCTCGGAAACCCTGTACAGGGTCACTATGGGTCGGAACCGACTCCACGGCACATCACCATCACTACCACGTAGAATTCTTGGAATTCAGGATTGGTGCTGCAGGATAAATGCATTGCATTGAAAAGGTCAGTTTGAAGCACAGGTTGGCGGTTCAAACCCACCAGCCGCTCCTCGGAATCCCTATACAGGGTCACTGAGTTGGAGCTGACTCGACAGCACTTAAGAACAACATGCTGACCATTGACAACTGCTTCAGTCTTTCTTCACTAGAATTAAATTTGCATTCACGTACATGTTCTATAAGATTAATTCTGGTGAGGAAATGATCCTTTGATTAGTCACTACCTGATTTTAAAACTAACCACTTACCCAAGTTAATTGGCTGGTTTGTAATTTTTGAAACTCCTTAACCATGAAGTTATACATAATTTTCTTACATTTGAGTGCAACTGTGTACAGTTTAATAATAATTATCCACTTGGAGGCTGTTATTAGGTTAGTTTTTCTATTACCAGATCATTTCCCTTGGGTAGAAAGGCACAAACCCCCATCCCGAGACACATATCCCTAACTAGTATTAGCTTTGCTTCTCACTGTCAATAAGATGCAGACTTCTCCCAACCCCCATCTTGTAGTATACATAAGGCTTTATGAACTTGATTCATGTTTATGAGCTTGATTTATGTAAGTCTTCCTGACAAATTAGGTTTCTGTGTCTGTTAGGCTGAGGGCCATACCCTGACTGTTGTGAATCTTCCAGAGATATAGGATAAGCACTGGACTGCAAACCACAAGGTTGGTGGTTCAAGCCCACCAACCCCTCCACAGGAGAAATTAGGCTTTCTACTCTGGTAAAGATTTGCAGCCTTGGAAATCTTACAAAGGTAGTTGTGGGTCAGAACTGACTCAAGGTCAATATTGAAACAGTAATAGTGTACCATTCCAATTACAATAGTTTTATTTTAAATTTTAATATCTATGAGGATCTATTGCTGTTAAATGCTATTGAATATCTTCCAATGTAGTGAGTCCAATACTGCAGAGACCTCACGGTGTTAGCTGTGTTGAAGCCCATTGTTACAGCCACTGTAGCAATCCATCACCTGGAGGGTCTTGCACTTTTTCAGTTACCCTCTACCAAGCATGAGCTCCTCCAGGAATTGGCCCCTCCTAATAACATGTTCAAAGTACATGAGATGACATGTCTTTGAACTTGCTTCTGGGGAGAGTATTTTGACTATACTTCTCCCAAGTCAGATTTATTCATTGTCTGGTAGTCCATGCTGTACTCAATATTCTGATGCTTCAGCAACACCATAATTCAAATGCATCAGTTCTTTTGTCTTCCTTATTCATTGTCCAGCTGTTGCATGCATATGGGGTGATTGAAAATACCATGGTGTGCGTCAGGCGCACCTTAGTCCTCAAAGTGACACCCTTAAAGGGCTGTTTTTCAGCACATTTGCCCAATGCAGCATTCATGTAATTTCTTGACTGCTACTTCCATGAGCATTGCAGAAAAATACAAAGAGCACTAAACTCTGTTTCCCACCGAACTGTATTTAAATGGGTTCAATAATTCATTGCAATGGCTACACAGGACTCAGGGAACATATTCATAGTTATGAGGTTTATTATGGAATTTAACAGCTTTCTTTTTGTGGCCAGAAATGTTCAGGGCACAGTTCTTCCGATCAGAACAGCCCTTTCTCAGCAGTACCCACATGCCACCCTCTCTCTGCCCTGCCAGTATTACAGAGTTCTTTTAGGGTTGCTGGTAAACGTTCATAGGGCATACTACTCCACTATGCGCTTCAGCCTGGAGGCATTTGGCAAACCTAGTTCCCCCAATTAAGTGCCTGAAGGCACCCCACTCTACAAGCAAGCCTCCTGCCCAGTCACTCAGCTTTACTTGTCCTGTGGGCTGGGAAGCTGACTGCTCTGCCTCATGCACTGGCTCTTGGTTCTGCTGCTGCCGCTCCTCTGTCACTCCTCCGGTGTCACAGCTGTCTGTTCCTGGGTCAAGGAGGTTCATTGTGAGTGGTCTCAGGGTCCAAAGGATGTGTTCCACTTCTGGCCCTTCTTCATTGATGGTAGTTGAGAATTCCCTTTCTGCTTCTGAGATGGCTCATTTTATACCCAGAAGAATGGAAAAATTGACCAATATTTCACATCTGCATGATATAATCCATCATCAT